GCACAGCTGTATGAAGGAACGGGATGGACATCCTTGCACAAGTGTTTGCTCTGGGCCTCTTGATTTGCTCCCCTGGTTAACGTTTATTTAAAAAAAGAAAAAGTGGATCATTCCTTAAAAAAAGGCAGTCTATTTTAGGGACATCTCCATTTACTCAGAAAATACTATGCATTGCTTTTGAAAACAAATTGAACTTTTATTTATTTATTTATTATTTTAAAAAATATTTTATTTATTTTTTGACAGAGAGAGACACAGCGAGAGAGGGAACACAAACAGGGGGAGTGGGAGAGGGAGAAGCAGACTTCCCGCTGAGCAGGGAACCCGATGCAGGGCTCGATCCCAGGACCCTGGGATCATGAGCTGAGCCGAAGGCAGACGCTTAACGACTGAGCCACCCAGGCGCCGCTTGAATTGAAATTTTAATATGACTCTTTCCTCAGTGTCATTTTTTTCTCTTGCTCCAGAGCTTGCTTTTTACAAGTAGGAGCTTTATAATGTGGAAATTCCGTTCCCATTTTTGTCCTTGTGGAATATCTGATACCACTGATTTCATTAGTTCTGGCTTGAAGCTAAAGTTGGGTGGACTAGGGGCGCCTGGGTGGCTCAGTCGTTAAGCGTCTGCCTTCGGCTTAGGTCATGATCTCAGGGTCCTGGGATCGAGCCCCGCATCAGGCTCCCTGCTCGGCGGGAAGCCTGCTTCTCCCTCTCCCACTCCCCCTGCTTGTGTTCCCTCTATCCCTGTCTCTCTCTCTGTCAAATAAATGAAATGAAATGAAATAAATAAAATAAAATAATAAAATAAATAAAATATAAATAAATAAAATAAATAATAAAATAAATAAAATAAATAAGATAAAATAAATAAAATAAAATAAAAAATAAAATAAATAAAATAAAATATAAAATATAAAATAAAATATAAAATAAGATATAAAATAAAATAAAATATATAAAATAAATAAATGAAATAAAATAAAATAAAAAGTTGGGTGGACTTGGGTATAAAGAAGCCTGGGAAACAGGGGGTCCAGGTTGTGCTTCTGAGCCACCCTGAACAGGTCACTTAAAGTCTGTGTCTGTGTGTCAGCACCTGTCGCCGAGAGGCTAGGACTAGAAGATTAATGAGGACTTCCTAGCTTTCAAATGATGCAATTGTAGATCTCCCCAGGCATTTCTGCTGGTAGTAAGATGGCCTGTTGAGGTAAGAGGTCTCTGGTTCACAGAGTCAGTCTTAGCTGCATGCTCTGCTTGAGAACTGTTACTTGAGTTAATTTGTAAAAGCTATTGGTACTTGCTCAGAAGATTTAAGAATATTTATATTTGAGGGGCACCTGGTGGCTCAGTTGGTTAAGCGTCTGCCTTCGGCTGAGGTCGTGATCCCGGGGTCCTGAGATCAAGCCCCATGTTGGGCTCCCTACTCAGTGGGGAGTCTGCTTCTCCCTCTCCCCTGCTTGTGCAAGCTCTTTCTCTCTCTCATTCACTCTCAAATAAAGAAATGAAATCTTTAAAAAAGCAAAAATAAAACAACAACAACAAGAACAATATTTATATTTGGATTTAAAGAGCCCATATTAGCAAAACTTAGATAGAACCTTGGATGTTTTCATTTCTGTTCTGTTCTCAACACCACTGATACAGAAAGTCTCCTTGTCTGTCTGAACATGAATTTTATGAAGTGTTTCAGTGTGTTACATCACCTTTACAATATTGTTCTGTTACAAGTGTTTTATGAGGGACAGGATCCTAGCACAGCTCGGATCGAAATCATCTTGCTCTTGTCAGTATGTCAGTGTTTGGCATGCCAAGTAGTTTTGCAGGGCAGCTGGGTGACCAGATCACCCTTTGTAATACTGTTATTTCCTTGGTAAACATGTTCTGTTAAGTCCTGTAAATGTCAAGAACGGGGTAAAAGGACATGTGTGGTAAGAGAGGAGATGGAGGGTCTGAGGCAGAGACAGCTGCATGGGAGGATGCACGCCAGTGGATGTGCCCCCTCTCCCAGGCCCTGGCCCCCGGCCTCCCTCGGAAGTGTCAGGGACTCACATTTCCCTTATGTATGAGTTAGCTGTAGCCACAGAACACGGTCGCTCCAAACAGAGTGGCTGAATCGGGCGTTGGCTGTCTCGCCGTTCCGATGGGTCAGGGGTCTGGTTGTGATTCAGCTGACTGCAAGTTGAAGGCTGCGGTCAAGATGGCAGCCAGGGCTGCTGTGTTATCTGAAGCTCGACCGGGGAAGGGTTTCCTTCTAAGCTTCCGTGATTTTTGGCACTTTCCTGTGGGCTCTCAGACTGCGGACCTCAGTTTCGTGTGAACCGTGAGCTGGAGGCTGCCCTCATGTGGCTCTTCTTCAGAGCCAGCAAGGGGGGAGCCTTGTAGCAGAACGGGCGTGACAGTCTTATGTATGTGAAGTAACCTGATGTAGCCCATCATTTTTGCTTATTCCACTGGTTACAAGAGAATCTCAGGCTCTACCTTGCTCAAGGGGAGGGTGTGACACAGGCAGGGGTAAGGAGAGATAGGGATCATGGGGCCATTTTAGAGTTGGCCACGTTTGAGGCTGGCTGGGAGTGTGGCTCCTCTGTGTCCTTACTCCCCTGTCTATGCATTTTCCCTCTTCACCAGGAGCATGCTTATGGTCCCTTCTGCCTTCTTTCTTCCTCCGGCCTGTGGAGAATCCAGTAACCGTGGGTGGTGTGTCCTTCTCTCTTCTGCTATAGAAATGCAAGGGAAGGGTGGCAGGAGGCTCTGCCTCGGTGAGCAGCTCCCAGGCTGTCAGGGCCCTGCCTGGATGGCTGGTATTTTGAGTGTGTGACCCATTCCCTAGCTGGTGTTTCTAGGTCATAATGTGCTCTCTATAAAGGACCCGCGTGGGGTCTTTTCAGCTTTTGTTTCTGTGGTCCATGGTGTTTTTAAGCAAGTGCTGACCTCCAAAGTGAGTTCACTTTCCCAGTGTTGTCCTCTTAGGGGTTCTTGCTGTGATTGTGCTTTAGATTTTAATTTAGAATCGTTAGTGGTTTTGGTCCTTTCACTCTTTGGCCCCGTTAACTGATCTTTAGTATCATTATCTCTTCAGTCATCTTTGGGGTGTCTCTTGCCTTTCTCAGGCCTGCCCCTGGTCTGTGTCTTAGTTAGTCTTCAAGTACTACTCTTCCTCCTCACTAGGAGATAGTGTGGTGTCGTGGTTAAGAGCCAGGCTCAGGTCATGGTCTCAGGTCACCAGATGGAGCCCCGGGGTCAGGTTCCCTGGTCAGTGGGGTGTCAGCTTGGGACTTTCTCTCCCTCTCCCTCTGCTCGCGCATGCCCTCTCTCTCTCAGCTGAATAAATACATGTTAAAAAAACAAAACAGCACAGAGTGTGTTCCTTTCAGGCAGGTTTTTGCATGACTCTTGCGGAGTGTTAACATCGTATAAGCAGCGTGATTAAGAAGTTCTGGGCTGTTAGCAGTCTCAGCCAGGACTTCCACATGCAGATCATTCTCTTTAAGCACATCAGCTAAGTTCATTGCTTGTGTTCTGGTGATGCTACCACCACACTGCATTCTTGTAAATGCACTTCACACTCACCACTGTAAAACCCCTTCCCCGCCCCCAGCACTTGGCACGGTGCCTGCTGCCAGGTGGATAGTTCATTCACGCCACTTGTTGAAGTCGCTTATTCTTTTGAATAGCCATAGTGGTGGCAAATTACCAACTTTGAGGAGGAACTTGATTCTGCGAACCTATTAAAATATTTTCCACTAAAGCAAAGAACTTGGGTCTTGTTAAAAAGATCAGGACTGGGGCTCTTGGGTGGCTCAGTTGGTTAGACGACTGCCTTCGGCTCAGGTCATGATCCCAGAGTTCTGGGATCGAGTCCCACATCGGGCTACTGGCTCAGTGGGGAGCCTGCTTCCCCCTCTGACCTTCTCCCCTCTCATGCTGTTTCTCACTCTCTGTCTCTCTCTTGCTCTCTCTCAAATAAATAAGTAAAATCTTTTAAAAAAAAAGATCAGGACTAAGCCGTAATGAGACATTTTTCTCATGGGCATCATATGCTGGTTTTGAAGGCAAAAGAAGAGTGGTCAGCCTATTCCGAGCAGTCAGCATCATTGGAGTGAGTCCCAAAGAGGATGATGTAGGAGGGGTCAAGGAACACTTTTATTCAGATAGAAAGTTCTGTTTAAAAGTTGCTATTGCTGGGGCACCTGGGTGGCTCAGCTGGTTAAGCGTCTGCCTTCAGCTCAGGTCATGATCCCAGGGTCCTGGAATCGAGCTCTGCATCGGGCTCCCTGCCCAGTGGGGAGTCTGCTTCTCCCTCTCCCTCTGCCTCTGCCTCTTCCCCTGCTCGTGCTCTCTCTCTCTCTCAAATGAATAAATGAAATCTATAAAAAAAGAAAAATAAGAGTTGCTGTTGCTTCTCTTGTGGGTCTTTTTTTTTTCTTGAAAGCCTCGCTGACAAATCCATGCTCTTGATGAGGCTGTGATGCGAATCTAGCCGTGGCAATAGGCCGCCTGCTATTCTCAGTGTGGCTACTCTTCCCCACAGATGCCCGCCAAGTACTTGGCTTTGCACACCAGAAGAATTGGCCCTGATGGAAATGATTCATTCCCTCTTTCAAGAATTAATCATCAAAAAAGGAAACAGAGCTGCTGTCCAGAATGGTCACAAGTGCACAGCTAGAGGTTTCTGCGTGCACATTAGTAAAGGCCATCTGCCAGCACGGACGTTTTTATTGGACACTCTGCTCAAAACAACTTGGGAAAGTTTGATGTTCTTGTCAGAAGTCTGATTTGACCTCTCCCCAATGTTCACGTAGGGAAAGAGTCTGAATTCAATGGACTGTAGACCAGAATTGCAATTGTGGCCATGAATTTAATAGACTCCCATACTTGCATTAGTAGACCTGGCAATTGCCGTTATGTCTTGCGGACATGTTCTATGGTGGGCACTGTATGTGTGTTCTCTCTAATCTACGTAACTTCTCTCCACACTATGTGTCATTGTCCTTCTCTTTCAGGCCTGGAAACTGAGTTTTGGAAGGATTCAGTAACGGATAAACACCGCTCTGTGGGTACACAGCAGAGGTGTAGTTCAAGCCTGTCTGTCCAGCCCGAGTCAAACCTTCTCCACTGTTCGTGGTTTTTTGAAAGTCTTCCGCGTCGAATGACCAGCCTAGAAGGCTCTTGCTAGCTGGTGAGCACGGGGCTCCTTCCTCTTGGTGTTGGGTATGATCTCTAAGTCCCTGACTTTGAGTCCTTCCCTGCTAACTCTTATTGATGTTGGTAAGCCCTTTCCTTGTTAGTAGGAGGCTTTCTGGATTTATGTGCATTTGTTCCATTCTCTCCTTTCTCTGTGGCCCCCTGACTCTCACCCCCACCCCACACCCACGCACCCACGCACCCTACAGGTTTGGAGAACTTGAGGCTTCTGTCTATTCTATAACTGAGGTGACGGTGTCTCTTTTTATAATTAATATGAATCTTCTCTCTCAGAATGACAACACTGAGGCTTCGGGTGAGGAAGAGTAACAGGTGCCTGTCTTGTCATTCTGATCCACTTGGAGCCATATATTCTTCCCATAAAATGAGCAATAGTTGCATTGTACCTGGTGGAAGTGGGGTGTTTTCATTTGGGGTTCTTCTGTGAAGGGAAAGAAAGCAGAACTTCTTGTCACTAGGTTGTGGACCCTAAAATGTTATGAAATTAAAAAACACAAGTAAAGCATGGTTCAGAATGCCTTGCTCTTGGAACAAGGAAGGCCCTTTGCTGGGCACATAACATTACTCCATGAATTATATGAATCTCCAGTATTCAAGCTGGACATATGGATAAGTTAGCAAGTCTGATCATTGAGCATGGGTGTCCCTGGTTCTGGGATAATACCCTTGTTGGATCAAAGCATGCTTGACTCGGCAGATTTTATCTTTCAGCTTATTTAATCCTCTGAACCACACAGTATAGTGGGGAGCATCCAGTCCTCTTTCAGAAAAGTAGAAATTGAGGCTGGGAAGAGATGAATGGACTTCGCCAGGGTTGCGTGGCTAGTGAGTGGTAGGACTTTGAACCAAGTTTTGTCTGTGTGGTGTCCTTCTGTTGATGTTGGTGGTTTGGGTTCCCTAATGATTGATCTTTCCCGTTCTGTAAGTTTTAAACAACGTGGGAAAAAGAGCAAGGATCAAATGGGGACCAACATGGATGGTCACTTAATTACTGGTAAAGCAGGACTGGAGAACTCACAAGCATCTCTGAAACTAAAATGTGTTTGAGTCCAGCAGCCTCCTAGACCTCTGGTATCAGCTGGCCTTGTGGAGAGCTGCAGGGAGCCCCAGGCTGCCCCGCTCAGCGCTCAGCATGGCTGAGCCCTTAGTCAGTGCTTCCTTGCACACTGCCAGGCAAATCTGTCACTCACCTTCCAGAAGAGTTTAAGGAGGGGCTGGGGCAGGGGAGAGAAAACTGGCTTAGTCTGATATTGCCTCCTCTCAGGAAACAGACTAAAATCTTTTCCCAAAAACATAAGGCAGGGCATTGCGGCGGGGGGTGGGGGGGTGGTGGGAAGGAGGACTCTCCACCCCAAATCCCAGCTGTTGAAACACTGCTCTTGAAATCTTTTTCTCTCTTAGGGTGCTCTCTGTTGTTACTCTGTCCTTCCTTTTTGATTTTGAAGGGAAAGGAAGGGATGACTATTTTTCTCTCTGTTTTGGTTTGAAGAAAGGAAAAGACGAATGTAGAAATCCAGAAATGGTCTGTCTGAGCCCTGTGACTAATCAGACCCCTTCTCCTCATGGCAGGTGATGGAAATGTGCTGGAGCAATGGGAGAAGCTGGTAACTTCTAGGAAGCCAAGATGACAAGAATTGTTTTAAATAATCAGTAAGTGAGATTTTCTTAGCCCTTTGGAACTCTTTCAATTACCAGTGAACATTCTCCAAGAAACCATGGTAAAAGAGTAGCTCAAACAGCTTAAAAGTCTGAGGGAGAAAATGTTTAAAAAATAAATATTCCAACACTTCAAAAATTCGATGCTAACATTTGCGCAATTATCTCGGTAGATGTGTCCTTTTTAGTTGGGTGTAGCATTTGGGCTGACAGAGTGTAAGTATTTAATGGATTAAAGGAGGATTCCTTTTATTTTAACTTTGGAATAGCCCTTCTCAAATACAGACATTCTTGTTCCCATTGGTTCAGTGAGCACCATGGCTTACCGACCTTGGGTGCACATATTTTGGAAAGTCCATGTGAATAAACTTGGTGAATATGAATAAAATTGAGCTCTTTGTCTGCTCCCTCCCCCATCCCTCTTTGAGTATCTACCTCATTTTTTACACTTTGGAGGCCACTACTGGTTGCTGATGATCTGACAGTTAAATGTGGTTGCTTCTGGTTTCATTATGATGTTGACAGTATTAGGACATGGGGTTGCTGAGTGAAGAGATTGTATATTTCTGCGTCAAACATTCCCCAACCTGACACTTGCCTTTGTGCTTTTATTTATTTTTTTCTATTTTTTTTTTTAAAAGATTTTATTTATTTATTTGACAGAGAGAGAGACAGGGATAGAGGGAACACAAGCAGGGGGAGTGGGAGAGGGAGAAGCAGGCTTCCCGCTGAGCAGGGAGCCCGATGTGGGGCTCGATCCCAGGACCCTGGGATCACGACCTGAGACGAAGGCAGACGCCTAACGACTGAGCCACCCAGGCGCCCCTATTTTTTCTGTTTATTTATTTATTTATTTGCTGTAGGCCTTCGTGCTTTTACAGTAGTTACTCAGCCTCTCAACCTCTGTATAGTGGACTCGATCATCCCTCTCATGAGAGGAAAGACTGTGGGTAGTACTCTGCTCTGACTGGTGCCTTATGGGTCCACAATAGAAGTACAGCTGATCCTTCCGCAGCCTGGGTTTGAACACCCAGGTCCACTTGTACATGGATTTTTATATTTTGCGGTACTTTAAATGTATTTTCTCTTCCTTGGGATTTCCTCTGTAACATTTTCTCCAGCTTACCTTGTTGTAAAAATACAGTATATCATACGTAGAGCATACGATATCTGTGTTCATCGACTCTTGACGTCATCAGTAAGGCTTCAGTCAACAGTAGGTGATCAGTAGTTAAGTCTCTGCAGAGTCCAAAGTTACATGCAGATTTTTGACTGCGTGGGAGGTGGGTGCCCCCAGCCCAGTGTGGCTTGTGGGTCACCTGTAGTTGCTTTCCTTCCTTTTATTTATATCATGATGTACAGTTTACAAGCCCATATTTGACTCAGACTGACCAGCTCCACCTCCTTAGCTTCTGTCAGGCCATGGGGGGTCAATATTGTGGGCATTGATGTGCAGACAAATGTTAAAGAGTTGGCCGGCTGGGAAGGGGGGACAGGAAGGGGGACAGGAGGGACGACCAGAGGGAGGATGGAGAGGGATGGGAGGGGAAACGGGAGGGAGGACGGGGGGGGGGGGAGGAGGGATGAAAGGGGGGATGGAAGGAGAACTGGAGGGAAGACGGAGGGAGGACTGGGTTATAGTGCTTACTGGCTTCTGTGGTGTAAACACTCCCTGCGTGGCTGATTTCCCACCACCAGCAAGTTGAGTGCAAGCTGAGCTGAGAAGTGCTGGGCAGGCACACCCTTTAATACCAGCCCCCGCCCCCCCAACACAGACGGTAGTGCAAGGAACACCAAGAGCCTAAACCATAATAAAATAGGAAGTGGTGAGTTTGCGCATTTATTACTTTTGTTTTTAGTCTGATTTATGTCAGTCATATGTTTCTGTGATGTCACTTTGAACGATGGCTCTGTGGAACGGGCTTGCCGGAAGCCCCGAGAGTCTGACGGCCTGCCCCGGGGGCTGGTAGGACAGCGCTGGCTGCAGGTTCCCTGTGGCAAAGGCATCTCTAAGCCACAGTTCTTCCATTATCCGTCTCGGCCCTGGGGGTGCGAGTTTGGTTGCGTTGGTCAAAGCAAGGTCTGCTTTTGAGTCTGTGCCCCGTAGCTCACATGGCCATGCTCACCTGGCTTCTGGAACTGAGGAGAGGCCCTGCGGCCAGTCTGGAGCATCAGCCTCTTTTCGTAGGCGTGTTAACCCGGCTCGGTGGCTGCCGCGGTCCCCCTGGCCTCACGCCCTTCCGAGTTTCTGCTGTCACTTCACTGTGCTCCCTGAACTTGCGTCCTCGGGTGGGGACACTCCGGGGACCACCCACTGTAGCATGTAGCTTTGCTTTTGTTCGGAAATTAAGTTTTAATGGACGTGACTTGTCTCCAGAGAGAGAGAGAGAAACAAAACAGGACAATACCTGGGTGGTTTCACGTTCATGCTGGCTTGATGAAAATCCTGGGGAGTGAAATGGAGGGCAGAACGGACGCTGGGTCAGATGGCCCAGTGTTTCCTCTGCATGCTGGCTTGCCCTTTCCAAGGGAACAATTGGAGCCTGAAATTGCTAAGTAACAGCTAAGATTGTGGTGGTTGCTTTTATTTTAAATCTCACCCACCTCGCTCTCAAAACACATTCTTTATTGAACCTAAAAAAAAAAAATGCCTTCGATATTTCAAAACGTTCCTTTGTGTCGATTCCCTGAAGCAGGCTTACATAATCTTAAGACATTTATTTCCCTTATTTCCTCCTAAAACAATAGATATTTATAGTTCCTACAGAGTCAAGGACGGACTTGGATTATTGCAAAAACAATTCTTGTCCCTTTCACGCTGAAGTGGATGGATGGAAATCTGAGACACTTACCTCTGGATTAAGAAATATTGACCCGTGTCTCAATCAAGATGAATAAGGGTGTCTTTGGTCACAGTGAAAGCAGACTTGGGAGAAATAAGCAACAGAACAACCTCACCACACATAAAATATTCTGATTTATGATTTCTCTCCCTAGGAGGCACCTGCTGCTATTTCTGGACATCCCCAGTGTAGACAAGTGTTTGGTCAGAGAGTTGTCAGGTGTCTGGTCCTCAGACGTGCAAATGTTAGAGCCATGAATGGTGTGCCATCAGCAACTCAGAAGTGTGAGTCGTGGGTTACGAGGGTAAATTCTAGTACAAATAAGACAGGCTCATTCCACATTAGGAACTGATCAGGCCCGAACATAGAAAGCCGTGATTTCAAAACAGATGTGGTTGATGTCATAAGAGATGTAGTAAATATTCTGGAAACCACCAGGAGAGAGAAATTACCTGTGTGGCAGGAGTGGTGAGGTCAAAGAGACTTTCAGGAGCAGATGATGTTTGTAGTGGGTATTTAATGATTAATGCCTTTTATTAAAATACCTATTTTAAAAATTATAAAAGTCATCCATGCTAATTGGAAAGAACTTTAAAAATGTAAATTCATCAATATTATCACTACCTAGAGATACCATTATTAACCTTGTTTGGGTTTTTTTTGTTTGTTTGTTTGTATTCTGCCATACTCTTCTAACCCTGGATGAGATATGTACTTTTTTTCTTCCTAAAATGGATTATTTGTTATAAATATTGTTTTGATTGATTTGATTTGATTGACAGTGTACTGAAACCATGCCACGTTGATGAATACACAGCGACATCCCATTTGTTACTGTTACACAGCATTTCACGTGTTCTGTGGTCTGTAATGTATTGAACCAGGTCCCCAGAGTGGGCATTTTGGTTGTTCTCAACTTCTCCTTCGAGAAAGCACACTATGGTGAACATCTTTGTGCATGCATTGTGGTGCACCTCCCCAGTTCTATGGGCAGGATCTTTGAGCAGAGTTGGGGCAGTGCTGAGGGCACATTCTAGCTAGAAGAAAGAGTGTGAGCAAAGAGGCAGAGGTGGGAAAGGAAGATGTCAGTCTGGGGAAAGGGTGAATTGTAGTTGAGCAGAATGTTAAGAAAAGAGAAGTAGCACTAATTGGGGCTGTAGGTGGAAGATGGGGCTCTCCCATGCCAAGCCCTTTATTCATTCTCAGTTGGGAGGCAGACTGGAATCCGTAGCCTAGTTCAAATGAAGTTTCTGAGTATCTTCAGTTTTCCTTAAGTTCCCTTGTCTGGGGAAGAAGTAATTAATTAATTGTTATAGATAATAGATAACTAGATATTAGTTATAAATAATAGATAATTAATAGTTCTGCTTTCCAGAACTTCTTGAGAGCCTTAAGAAACCAACAAATTGGGGAGTGAATAATTAATGGAAGTCAGGAAGAGAGTATGTATGTATAGAAAAGACTGTAAGATTAGAGGAGACTGTGGTTTTGAAAAGTAAAGGAAACATCATTTATTTATATATTTTATACACTTATAAACACACTGTGAATAAAATGTAAAGACAGTTTGGGAAAGATATGGATTAGGAGACAAGTATCATAATTTAATAATAATACTGTCTTCTGTTTCCTAAGGGGGCTTTGATGTGCTCGTATGTTTTAAATGCATTGTTTTACCTAATTTCTCAAAAACTTCCTCAGGAAGAGTGCAGGATTATCTCCATTTTGCAAGTGAAACGGAGGCCTCCCAGGCTGGCTTTGGGGAGGCGACACCAGACTTGGAGTTGGAGTTCAGGGGCTGCTAGGGCCTTGGACAGGTCTGGGGACTTCGCTGGGAGGGTCGTGAGGCCATCGTAAGACCTGGAAGGTGACGCGGAGGAACTGCTTTCTGTCCTGGGATGGCTTCTTTCATCATCACCGCAGGGAAGAAAACACTTCCTCAGCCATTTTCTCTCCCCTTTGTGGTAGATCACACTGTTGTCAAAACACCTGTTCCTTCCTACCCACCCTCCATCTCTGTGGGAGAATTACACTTTCCCACCCCAGTGAGGGTTGGCCCCAGTGGCTTTCTTGGCCATAGGACTTACTTTGGCCAAAACAATGTGAATGGCGACGACATATGCCATTTCCCAGCAGAAGCTTTACATCAGG